GGTGGCACTGAGGCACAAAGTACCTACCAAAATGTCTCCGTTGATGTCACCATTGAACTCCTGGAACATAACTCATGTTAGAGAAGATCTGTATTTTAGGACAAATTCTAAAAGGAACCTATTAATAATCTGACCAAAAGTATCAAGTTATATTTTTTCATCTGAAATTAAAGTTTGCTTTTTTTTTATATTTACTTCAGTAATCACTTCTGGTTAGATTTTCAGATTCAGAAACACTTTAAAGCTGTGGGTCATTAAATAAGTTATTTAGTCTCTCTGAGTCTCAACTTCATCATTTACAAAAAGAGCTAATTATACTTACCTAATAACATGGTGGTGAAGATTAAATTTAAAAACTACATATGGTGACAACACATGTGAAGCCCAGCATGGTGGCAGCTAGTGGGCAGATAGTAAGTGGTAAATAGTATTTAGTTAGCAAAGTCATACTGGTAGTGATGTTGCTAGTGTCTCCTTTGCTTATGCTACTGTGTTGCTCCTGGTTTCCACCATGCGGGGTACTTTAGAAAATGGTGCACTGGAATGCAGTATCATTATACTTTACCAACTCTCTTTCAAGGGCTCAGGATGTCTTCCGTCAGGCAATGAAATCCCCAGGTGTGCTTCTCCACGTGCTTCCACCTCAAAACCGTGAACAGTATGAAAAATCAGTCATTGGACCTCTTAATATTTTTGGTAACAATGATGGTGTTTTGAGAACAAAGGTGCCTCCACCTGTCCATGGAAAATCAGGACTAAGGGCAGTAAATCTCACAGGAACAAACAGTCCTGAAACAGATGCATCAACTTCCCTGCAACAAAGCAAGAGCCCCCGGATACCAAGACTAGGAACGAAGCCATCCTCTCCCTCACTCTCCCCTTTCATGGGGTTTGGCAGCAAGAAAAATGCAAAGAAAATTAAGATTGACCTAAAGAAAGGTAATTATTAAATTATGCTTAATAGCATTCTATAATTGTAACATGTAAAATTGGTTAAGAGAAATGCATTAAGGCTAATTTAGTTAATTCTCTTCATTTAATTGTATCAAATAATAGATTTAAGTGTATTCTTAGGTAACTTAAATTTCTTGAAATTGTAGTTTCTTATTCTCTTCTGGAGAACTAAGATTATTTGAAATAAGAAGATAACAAAGACATGCTGGAGAGTAGAAAGAATCATTGCAAACTTGATAGAAACAGAGCAATATTGTGTTACAACTTAACACTAAATAGGCACTAAAATTCAGTTGTTCCTGTTTTGAACATGATTAGTGATTTTTGAAGCATCCTATAGGCCAGGTCCAAAAAGCATATTGTTTCTCATTATTTAAAACCGTTTTATACCAGCAAAAAGTTTACTCCTCACAAAGCAAATATATAATAATTATTAATTTCACTGATTCAACATTGCAAACATTTTTTCAAAACATACCTAATTTCAAAGGCATGTACAACCTTTTCTTCATCTTTTTCAACTTTTCTATCCATTTCAAGCACAGATCAGTAAGACTAGATTATCTGTATAGATGCATATTTATGTAATACTACACACACACACATCATCATTCATGCACTTCTATGTTTATTCATTTAGTAACCTCTGCCTGATATTCCCTTCCCCCATTGCAACCTTCTGAAATCCTGTGTTTTTCAAGACAATTCAAAAGAAACGAAGATCTCATAGATTCTTGCCTGAATTTACAGAAAACTTAATGGTCACAAGGTAGTTTTAGAATGTGTTTTAATGCATTTCAAAGACAAATAACATCTATCTTTAATTAGGCTATATAAATTATTCTGAGAAGATTCTCTGATCAAAATTCTATTCACCTAGAAGAATTCTAAACTGGTAAGAAAATGTATTGACTAGAAGGCACAAATACACCAGTGTGCTTAGCAATTAGGTTTTGTATTTAAATGTATCAGTTGTATTTTTTGGTACAAACGATCCAGCTATGTATAAGACACAGAGTTAGGTATTTTGAGTATAGAAAGATAAATCGGACACAGAATTACCTTAAAAATTCATCATCAAGGCTTGAATGCAAAAGTAAAAACTATGACATCACAGCTTTACTTTGGGAAGATTAATGTAATAGCAAAAAGATATACTGAGAAAGAGACTAAACAACAAAGGATCTGTAAAGGGTGCGTTGATTCTGTCTACATGTGGAAATACATGCATGCCTGAATAGATGATTGGTTATAGGAAGAAAGAAAGGAAGGAATTAGTTATTGCTAAGGTTTTCAGCCAGGGTGACTTGCATGATGAAGATGTCATTGCTAGAAATTAGAATTTTAAGGTGATGAGGATATTTGAAAAGGCTAGGATCTGAATCAAAGAGGGAGGTACATACTAAAGCCTGAAATAAACATGGTGATATCTAGGAAGTTGACATCAGAAAGAGAGATTAGGGCCAAATAAAGAGATTTGGTCTCTTACAAAGGGAGATGATAGTTGGACCCAGTAGCTGGCCAAGGCAGGGAGTATAGAGGACAAATTGGTCCAGAACAGATCCTTGAAGAATATCTATGTTTATGTGGCAAAGGGAGATGATAGTTGGACCCAGTAGCTGGCCAAGGCAGGGAGTATAGAGGACAAATTGATCCAGAACAGATCCTTGAAGAATATCTATGTTTATGTGGGAGGAAAATGGGTAAGAGTTAGAGAGAGTGACAAATGTGATGTGATCAGAGAGGTAGGAAAATAATCAGAAAATAAAGACACAAAAACCAAGGGGGAAGGGAGTTAAAACTGTTCAAGAAAATGATTAGTGGGAAGTGCCAAAGGTGGAGAAGAGGAAAGATCAAGGATAGGAAGAATGACTAGATATGGCCATAGGTAGGTTAGTGAGGATGGAAGTTGAAGAGGCAGTAAGATTGGAGTGAGGATTCTTCAGGGTAGAGAAATCTGAGCACACCTTTAGGCAGAGTGAAAGATAAACCAAAAGCGAGAAATTGGAGATGCAAGAGGGTAGGCGGGTGCAGCAAGACTCCTGCTGATGGGACAATGGGATGCAGCAGTACAATGGGGACACGGGTGGAGGGGTGAGCCACGGGTTGGCTAACTGATTGCAAGGCTGTCAAGCTCATGTCAGATGGCCTTGGGCTTTTCAGGAAAGTATGAAGTCAGGTTATGGCTTACTGAGAAATCACTGCCATGTGCATTCCTACTAGGACCCAAATAAATGAAATTGTTACATATCTGTATTGGGCCCTAAATTCACTTTGATACCATCATGGCCTGTCAGGAACTATCATCTGTATTTGAAACCAGAACAACTGAAACATATTTTAAATGTCATGGAATGTAAACATTTTTACTTACGCTGCATTAGTCTAAGTTACATAGAGTTTACTATAAGATTGAATATAATGTCACTCATGCTTAAGGTGACTACATTTTCCGTGTGTTATATACTAGGCCCTGAAGGACTTGGTTTCACTGTAGTTACCAGAGACTCTTCCATACATGGTCCCGGTCCCATTTTTGTAAAAAACATTTTACCAAAGGGAGCAGCAATAAAAGATGGCCGCCTGCAATCAGGGGACAGAATTTTGGAGGTAAGAATTAGAATTGTTATCTCTAATAAAATATTTGTTGGTATTTAAATATATAAACATATGAATATATATTAATATATATTTTTAATACAATATATGTTGAAAGTTATTACTTGTAGACAAGATAATGTCTGTAATTATAGAAGTAGTCAATGAGTAGCCTAATTTTGTNCCTGGGGAATTTGGATTGAATTCAGGGGTTCATCATATATTCTGTTAGGGCTAAGAATTTCAAAGTCAGACCTAAGCCTTGGTAATAGTTTCTTTAAACTTTTGCAAAGATGGGCCAGTGTCTCAGGTTGATCTATGCCTTGTCGAGATCTGTATCACTTGTACTAGGCCAGCAATGGAAACAGCTACAGGTTTAGTATCCCTTATCTGAAATGCTTGGGACCAGGAATGTTTTGGATTTCAGAATTTTTTGGATTTTGGAATATCAAAACAGTTGAGCATCCCTAATACAAAAATCCCAGAACCAAAATGATCCAGTGAGCATTTTCTTTGAAAGTCATGTTGGCACTCAAGAAATTTTGGATTTTGGCACATTTCAGATTTCGGGTTTTTGGATTAGGAATGCTCAACCTAGATAAGGGATTTTTCATAGAGATGTATTTGGAATATCCAAAGGAAAATGGTTATTTTTTTCCATTTATTTTTGTTTGATAGCATTGTCTTATTGTTAATTATATATTGTCAATTTACCTTTCAAGAAATCATCTTCACTGAAACTAGCTTGTTCCATTTAACTCTCTCATAGCATGAAAGCAGCATTATGCTGTAGCTTTTCACATAATTCTATTTCATGAAAGATGCATCAAATGACTAATACAGCTCCAAATTAGAATTTCCAATAATCTATGATAATCTTGTGACTATAACTTTCTAAACTGGAGAAAACTGTAGAATTACATCAAAAGACTCATATTTCTAGAGGAATTTGCCATACGATAATGGTTCACTTCTGCTTGTTGTACTGGGCAGAAAATGGTGCCTGGTAATCATTTGAAATTTGTTTCCTACCTATTTGAGAAATCATTCTCTGGTATATGTCAGTGTGACTTTCCCCTCATAAGAATGTGGTGTCTTAGGAAAAACTGCTGATACTAATTACTGAC